TTTTTAGTAGAGACGGGGTTTCACCATGTTGACCAGGGTGGTCTCGATCTCTTGACCTCGTGATCCACCTGCCTCGGCCTCCCAAAGTGCTGGGATTATAGGCGTGAGCCACCGCGCCCAGCAAGATAAATTTCTATTAATATGTTACACGGTGTGACCTGTTTGTTTTGGGGCATCAGATGAGCATACAAGGACTTGTGTGTAGTGAAGCTGGAGGGTTACAGCCTCCCCAGTTAAGGACGGTCTTCCCAGGAAGGAAAGAAGAGGTGAGAGCAGAGGCGTAGTCTTGACTGTACCCTAAGTAGCCATCAGTGACCTGACCAAGGGGCAGATAGCCCTCCACCGGACAGAGAAAAGTCCATGAAATTTCTAGACCTGTTTCCACAGTTGACCTTTGGTAATCCAAATGAGAGTGTGCTTCAGATTGAAGCCAAAAAATACAGTGCCCCCAAACGAGGGCATGTGGCAGTCGTTGTCAATGTCTGCTGGGCTGATACTCTGTAACTAGAAGCTTGGAAAGCAGATGACGTATAACAGAGGCCAGGTTGCCATCCATCTGGCCAGTGACAAGTGATCAGCGCAGTGCCAGGGGTACTCTGGTGATCTGTGGTCAGCTCAGAGTCCTGAGGGGAAGCAAGTGGGCTTCCACCATCTCAGGGGAGCACCACAGCTGTGCTGCTGTCAGTGCTGCAGGTGCTGAGAGGAGGGGCTCGTCACCACCCCAGGGAAGCTGGGCGCCACCAAAGGGAGCTTGTTTGCCAGGCACATGGCAAATAGGAATTGTCTACAAGTCGATGGCAGCCCTGATCTCTGTGATAGGGTCTAGACTCTCCTCAGGGTCCAGGGGCGAGGTTCAGGGTGAACTGGAAAACTTGACCACATTTTAGTGCCGGGTGGGCATGGTTCCCCATCTCAGGGTGGGAGTGGAGTGTCTGATTGGGGCTGGAAATGTAGGTGGGGAGGCGGCAGCCAGGGAGCAGGGCATCCTGTGAAAAGAGTATCTCGCTAAGGAGTCTGAACGCCATTCCTGTAGGTGAGGGAGTCATCAAGACAGAGCAGAGGCAGGACCAGATGGCTGTTTGAGGTGCTGAGCGAGGCTCCCCGCTTGCGGGGAGAGGTGAGATCGAGGCCCGTTTGGAGGCCGAGGCTTAACCAGGGCTCAAGCAGAGGGGAGGGAAGCCTGGACTTAAGAGATAGGGAGGATAAGGACTGGGTGCACCATGTGGAGGGAGAATCAATTCAAGGTTAACGCCGGTGCTCGGGCGGATGGCGAAAGCAGCAGATGGCCTTGACCGGGGAGGGAACTCGAGCACAGGAGCAGGGTGTGTGTGTGCAGGAGCTTTTGGGGTCACGGGAAGTACTGAGAGGTGAGGAGTGGGATTTGGGACGTGCGAATGACTTCCTGTCTCTGGATCAGTCTCGATCTCTGCCCGGCGAGGGCGCGCCCCCACTGGGCGCGGGCACTGCGTTCTAGGGCCTAGTGCTGCCCTGGGCGGGTGGGGCGTCCCTGTGGGTTGGGCGGCCCGGCCCTCTGGGGTGTGGCCGCCGCGCGCTCCGCCCCGCGCCCCTCCTACCCCGCCGGCTCCGGGCGTGGTGGTCGCTCAGCTCTGTGCTCCCGCACCGCAGCGCCGCCGCCCGGCCCCGCCAGCTTCCCGGTAAGGCTTGGGGACGCATCCCCTGGCGACTCCTCCGGCTCCCTAATCCGCTTGCGCGGCCGCGGGTGGGCCGGGTCTGCGGGTGGCCCCCGATTTCCCACAGGTCCCGCCCGGGGTCGGAGCGGGAGATTTCCTGGCCGCGTGAGCCCCGCGGGCCTCCGGGCTCCGCAGAGGGACGCCGGCCCTGCGTGGGGCGGAAGCGCTGGGAAGCCACGTGTCCCCCCGGCCGCGCGCGGTGGGGGAGGCGGGCCCGGCGGCGCCCACGTGGCCTCCGCTCCACGGACCGGACCAGCCCGGGCCCTGACCGCACCTCTCGCTCCGCAGGACCATGGCCAACCTCGAGCGCACCTTCATCGCCATCAAGCCGGACGGCGTGCAGCGCGGCCTGGTGGGCGAGATCATCAAGCGCTTCGAGCAGAAGGGGTTCCGCCTCGTGGCCATGAAGTTCCTCCGGGTAACTCGCCCCGGTCGCCCCTTCCCCAGCTACAGCTGGCTCGTGGGTTTTTTTTCCTCCCGGCAGCGGTTTGTCCGCGTTGCCTTTCCGAGTCTATTTCGCGCCCACGAGAATCCTTTTGCCCTCTGCCCCCGCCCACGGCTGCTCGGGCCCGGCGACCCTTTCCCGAGGCGGTGGGGACAGACGCCCTTGGGAAGGTGAAGCGCGGGTAGCGTGACTCGCACTCTGGGTTTGGCTTCCTTCCCGCGGGCCGCCACCTGCCTACCCGCTGCAGGGGGCAGCAGGGAGCGGAGAAACCCCTGGCGCCAGACCCCCTGCGCTTGCCCACGCGGGTCCGCCTAGGCACAGAATGGAGGTTTGGAATCTTTGGTGCTTTAGTCTGAAACTCCGAGTTCCAGTGCGGTGCCCCTCCTTTAGCATGGGGTAGGAACTGTATTTTCCACATTAAATTTGGGGCACAGATCTGAATCCCTACACCTGGGGGTAAGTATCTAAGTACTGAAATTCAACCAGGCTCGTCGGTGAAGAGAATGTTCTCAGTTATCTGAAATATTTAAAAGGGTGTTGTGAGTAGCCCAGGGGGTTTTAATATGGCCTCTGTATGACTTGACATATGTACTTCAGTTGCAGCCAAAATTTAACTCCCTAAATCTAGATCCTCAACCACCTACTTCTTAGGATTACAAAATCCTCAGTGTCACTGACAGTATGAGAGTGTTTTTACGATTAGAACAGTCTTGGCCAGGCGCAGGGCTCACGCCTATACTCTCAGCAATTTGGGAGGCAGAGATGGGTGGAGCCCCGGAGTTGGAGATCAGCCTGAGCCACATAGCAAGCCCCTGTCTCTACAAAAAATTTGAAAAAAAGATTGGGTGTGGTTGAGTGCACCTGTAGTTCTAACTACCTGAGAAGCTGAGGTGGCAAAATCACTTGAGCCCTGGAAGTTGAGGCTGCAGTGAGCCATGATTGTGCCACTGCTTTCCAGCCTGGGTGGTGAGCGTGAGACCCTGTCTCCTAAAACAAACTGAAACAGCAAACCAAAAAAGAACGATCTTCCTGCTAAAACGGCGTTAGTTTCGTGGTTTGGATGGGATTTTAAAAATATTTCTATATATTGGCCGGGCGCAGTGGCTCATGCCTGTAATCCCAGCACTTTGGGAGGCCGAGGTGGGTGGATCATGGGGTCAGGAGATCGAGACCATCCAGGTTAACACGGTGAAACCCCGTCTCTACTAAAAATACAAAATATTAGCTGGGCATGGTGGCACATATTAGCCTCCCAGCTATTTGGGAGGCTAAGGCAGGAAAATCGCTTGAACCTGGGAAGCGGAGGTTGCAGTGAGCCGAGATCCGCCACCACACTCCAGCCTGGGTAACAGGAGCGAGTCTCTGTCTCAAAAAAAAAATTTTTTTTTTAGTATATCTATCTCCACACACTTACGTGGGCTAGAATATAAAACCGGACTTTCAGAGACCCTGCTATACTAATGGGAGGTTCAGAGGTTGGGATGGGGTCTTTCCAGCTGATTTCCTAACTGGCACCTCCTTCGAATGCCAGGCCTCTGAGGAACACCTGAAGCAGCATTACATTGACCTGAAAGACCGCCCGTTCTTCCCTGGGCTGGTGAAGTACATGAACTCAGGGCCAGTCGTGGCCATGGTGAGTGCTTGTGGGGAATATGGAAAATGAGGAAAAAGTGCTTAGCTTTTTTAGACATCTCTCTCAGCTAATCTAAATCATTTTATGAATGGAACCTGCTGAAGTTACTTAACTGAGCAACTAGGAGCTTGGCGGGAGAAAGCAAAATCAGACCTTAGAAATGGGAAGGATGTTAGCTGGGCATGGGTGCTCGCCTGTAATCCCAGCTGCTCGGGTAGCTGCGGCAGGAGAGTTGCTTGGACCCAGGAGGTGAGGTTGCAGTGAGCTGAGATCCGCCACTGACCTCCAGCCTGGGCGATAGAGCGATACTCTGTCTCAACAAAAAAAAAGAAAAGAAAAGAAAAAAAGAAATGGAAGGACATTTTCAGGTAGCTTTCTCCTGCGTTAAATAGAATCTCATTGTCTATAAGATGCTGCATTTCTGGGCCAGGTGCAGTGGCTCACGCCTGTAAGCCCAGCACTTTGGGAGGCTGAGGCAGGTGGATCAACTGGCTGAGGCCAGGAGTTCAAGACCAGCCTGGCCAACATGGTGAGACTCCATTTCTACTAAAACAATACAAAAATTAGCTGGGCGTGGTGGCATGTGCCGGTAGTCCCAGCTACTCGGGAGGCTGAGGCAGGAGAATTGCTTGAACCTGGCAGGCGGAGGTTGCAGTGAGCCGAGATTGCACCACTGCCCTCCAGCTTGATGCCTGCTGACAGACTCTGTCTCAAAAAAAAATTGTTAAATTTCTTCTGTTTGACAGGTGTTTTAGACTTTAATGTTTCCTAGATTAAAAAACTTTTTCCTATTTTCTTTTTTTTTTTTTTTGGGACGGAGTTTCGCTCTTGTTACCCAGGCTGGAGTGTAATGGCGCGATCTCGGCTCACCGCAACCTCCGCCTCCTGGGTTCAGGCAATTCTCCTGCCTCAGCCTCCTGAGTAGCTGGGATTACAGGCACGCGCCACCATGCCCAGCTAATTTTTTGTATTTTTAGTAGAGACAGGGTTTCACCGTGTTGACCAGGATGGTCTCGATCTCTTGACCTCGTGATCCACCTGCCTCGGCCTCCCAAAGTGCTGGGATTACAGGCTTGAGCCACCGCGCCTGGCCTATTTTCTTACATTTTTCTATGAAATTTCTGAATTTTTCCATGAAAAATTCAAATGTAAGTATATAATACAAGAAGCAGAAGTTTGGAATCCTATACTAGATGCAGTTTCTTCTGGATGGTGCTGACGTCCAACTGGGAGTGCAGAGAATAGGAGAGAGTGAAATAGGGAGGCACTGAAGTTGTTGAGAAAGTACACCTATTTCCTGTTCACCAAGTGTGGCTTTTTCTTCCTTCTGCTGTCCCTGGAATATTTTCTGTGGAATGTTCGTCTTCATTTCCCCTGTTCTAGCAGTCTCCTGGGATGCCCTTCCCACCGATCTAGTCCAGTCTGGCCACTTTTGCCTTTCTTCACCAGTTCTTCTGTGTTTATGGCTGCATAAGGATTCTTCAACATTGTTTATCTGTCTCAGCTAAACTGGGAAGTTCCCAAGTTGGGTGGACTTTTCTTTGAATCCTAGTAATACATTTGGAATGGAGTTTTTATTTAGGCCTCTACTCTGTGCTGGGGTCAGCTGATAATGTCACTGATTGGTCTCATTGACGTGTCCTGTCAGGTGGGAGTAAATGTTAGCCCCGAGCTGTCCTGAGTGGCAGATCTGATATAAATTCATTTCACACTATCCAGGTCTGGGAGGGGTTGAATGTGGTGAAGACAGGTCGAGTGATGCTTGGGGAGACCAATCCAGCAGATTCTAAGCCAGGCACCATTCGTGGGGACTTCTGCATTCAGGTTGGCAGGTAAGTCCGGGGACAGGAGGGTGGATGACTTTGATGTAACACCATTTAAAGCAGATATTGGGCGCATCCTACTTTCAGAAGGATGTGGACTTATAATTATTATTTTTTTTCTTGAGATGGAGTCTCCCTCTGTTGCCCAGGCTGGAGTGCAGTAGTGCCACCTCAGCTCACTGCAACCTCCACCTCCCAGGTTCAAGCGATCCTCCTGTCTCAACCTCCCAAGTAGCTGGGATTATAGGTGCATGCCACCATGCCTGGCTAATTTTTGTATTTTTGGTAGAGACGGGGTTTCACCACATTGGCCAGACTAGTCTCCAACTCCTGACCTCAAGTGATTTGCCCGCTTGGGCCTCAGAAGGTGGTAGGATTACAGACATGAGCCACTGCACCTGGCCTGAACTTTTAAATTAGGTGGTGATTATCATTGCATAAAAGCTTTCAGGCCAGGGGATCACGCCTGTAATCCGAGCACTTTGGGAGGCTGAGGCGGGTGGATCACCTGAGGTCAGGAGTTTGAGACCAGCTTGGCCAACATGGTGAAACTCTGTCTCTATTAAAAATAAAAAATTAGCTGGGCGTGGTGGTGCATGCCTGTAATCCTAGCTACTCAGGAGGCTGAGACAGAATTGCTGGAACTGGGGATGGGGAGGCTACAGTGAGCTGAGATCATGCCACTGCACTCTAGCCTGGGCAACAAGAGCTAAACTCCATCTCAAAAAAAAAAGGCTGGGCACGGTGGCTCACGCCTGTAATCCCAGCATTATAGGAGGCTGAGGTGGACAGATCATGAGTTTGAGATCAGCCTGGTTAACATGGTGAAACCTCATCTCTACTAAAAATACAAAAAATTAGCCAGGTATGGTGGCATGCGCCTGTAGTCCCAGCTACTCAGGAGGCTGAGGCTGGAGAATTGCTTGAACCCAGGAGGCGGAGGTTGCAGTGAGCTGAGATCTTGCCACTGCACCCCAGCCTGGGCAACAAGAGCTAAACTCCATCTCAAAAAAAAAAAAAGGCTGGGCATGGTGGCTCACGCCTGTAATCCCAGCATTATAGGAGGCTGACAAGACTCCGTCTCAAAAAAAAAGCTTTCATAGATCGCTTATTCCCTAGGTTAATTGTAAGCAAGATACTACAAGGGAGCTCTATGTGGTGGTTCCTGTGTAGCACAGCAGGCAATGCTAGGTGTGGAGAAGGGAAGATTTCTAGCCATGAGTACTTTGTCCCTGGGCGTGTTGGTTAGCCTTCTGGTTCCTTCGCCTGTACACAATCTATTCAAAACCTTTACAAAGTTGTGAGGTTCAAGTACAATAAAGGGATTGTTATTAATAAGCAGTGTTATGTCATGGCTGGGCTTTGCAAATCAGAGTTGTAAGAAGTTGCAGCAGAACTGGCCTGTGACAATGAATATATCATATCTAGTTGGGATGTTGATCTGGAGTGCTTTTGAATATTACCGTATTTTCCAAAATTTGAGGAGGAATGTTTTATGTTATCAGCAATCTTGGGGTACAAGCACTGTTTTGATAGTGGGGGCTGGACTTGGAAGCATAATACAGTTAAAACAAGGAGTGTTTGGAACCAAGCACCTTTACAGTTGTATATCTGCTTTTAAAAGGAAACACTTGCCGGGCGTGGTGGTTCACGCCTGTAATCCCAGCACTTTGGGAGGCCGAGGCGGGTGGATCACGAGGTCAAGAGATCGAGACCATCCTGGTCAACATGGTGAAACCCCGTCTCTACTAAAAATACAAAACATTAGCTGGGCATGGTGGCGCGTGCCTGTAATCCCAGCTGCTCGGGATGCTGAGGCAGGAGAATTGCCTGAACCCAGGAGGCGGAGGTTGTGGTGAGCCGAGATTGCGCCATTGCACTCCAGCCTGGGTAACAAGAGTGAAACTCCGTCTCAAAAAAAAAAAGGAAACACTTTGGGGGTATAAATGGGTCTGCTGCTGCTTCAAGTGGCAATTTGGCTGAAAAAGTCTGGAGTGGCTGTCCGTTGCTGTACCCATGAAGCAGACTTCTGCACTTTAAAACATGGTGACAAAAAAAAGAAAAATGAACAAACACAGTGACTAGTAATTGTCTTCTTTCTTAGGAACATCATTCATGGCAGTGACTCAGTAAAAAGTGCTGAAAAAGAAATCAGCCTATGGTTTAAGCCTGAAGAACTGGTTGACTACAAGTCTTGTGCTCATGACTGGGTCTATGAATAAGAAGTGGACACAGCAGCAGTCTCCTTCAGCCCGGCTTGGTGTGTCCCTGGACGCAGCTCTTCATTCCACTGACTTAGAAGCAACAGGAGTGATCATTCTTTTGTAGACCATATTTGCCAGTAAAGCCTTTGGAAACTGGACACTGTCTCCTTGTGCTTATTTGATACTGAGCTGAAAGAAGTGACGTGGTTCCCTGGCTAAATAGTAGCATTATCTGCATCTAAATCCTGCTTATTATCAAAGAATAATTGATCCTTCTAAGAACCTGGGTATACCTCAAGACATTCTATGAGGGAAAATGGTAGGGCTGAAGAGGAAAAGCATGGCCCTGGCTGTGTATCTAAGGAAACGAATAAGGAAATCAAACTATATCCCAATTACTTTAGCTAATGCATAAATGTATATTCCTGTATGAAAGATTTTTATGGCTGGGTGCCGTGGGTCATGCCTGTAATCCCAGCACTTTGGGAGGTCAAGGCGGGTGGACCACCTGAGGTCAGGAGTTTGAGACCAGCCTGGAGCCTGGCCAACGTGGTGAAACCTGTCTCTACTAAAAATACAAACAATTAGCCAGGCATGGTGGTAGGCACCTGTGATCCCAGTCACTCGGGAGGCTGAGGCAGGAGAATGGCTTGAACCCGGGAGGTGGAGGTTGCAGTGAGCCAAGATCCTGCCATTGCACTCCAGCCTGGGCAACGAGAGTAAGACTCCATCGCAAAAAAAAAAAAGTAAAAGCTAAATGTCACTCCTATATATGACAATCCTATGCTTTTTATTTATACTGCTACAGTAGCTATAAGACAGTGACATCATGATTTAAGTACATATTTGGTCTCTGCCTCTGGTTCCTGGCACACAGCTCCTAAAACCCTTGTAATCTCAAATGTTAGGTTCCTTATATGCTAATGAGATGACTGGTGGCTATGGGAGCTCCTGGATAGCCTCCCTGTAACCTCCAAGAAGAGGAGAGGGGCTAAGTTTCAATTGTTCACCGATGGCCAATTATGCAATCAGTCACGCCTATGTAATGAAGCTTCCATAAAACCCCTAAAGAATAGGGTGTGGGGAGCTTCCGGATTGCTGAGGTGCTTGGTAGTGGGTGGTACACTCTGAGGGCGTGGAAGCTCCATGCCATTTTCCACATACCCTGCCCCATGCATCTGGTCCATCTACATCCTCTCTCAGAGATGGAGGTCTCGCTATGTTGTCCAGGTTAGCCTTTAACTCCTGGGCTCAAACAATCCTCCCAACTCAGCCTCCTGAGTTGCTGGGATCGCAGATGCACACCAGCTATATCTTTTATTAAACCAATAAATATAAGTAGTTGTTCCCCGAGTTCTATGACCCTTTCTAGCAAATTAACTGAATCTAAGGAAGGGGTCATGGGAATCCTTAATTTACAGCCAATTCGTCAGAAGAACAAAGTTGTAACCTGGGTGGGGCGCGGTGGCGTGTGCCTGTAGTCCGGGCTACTCGGGAGGCTGAGGTGGGAGGATCGCTTGAGCCCAGGAGTTCTGGGCTATAGTGCGCTATGCCGATTGGGTGTCTGCACTAAGTTCGGCATCAATATGGTGAACTCCTGGGAGTGGGGGACCATCAGGCTGCCTAAGGAGGGGTGAACCAGCCCAGGTTGGAAACAGAGCAGGTCAAAACTCCGGTGCTGATCAGTAGTGGGATCTCGCCTGTGAATAGCCACTAGCACTCCAGCAGCCTGGGCCACATAGCAAGACCCCGTCTCAAAAAAAAAAAAAAAAAAAGTTGTAACCTGGGGCTTGCAATTGGCATCTGAAATGGGGGCAGTCTTCGAGGCTGGAGTCCTTAACCTGTGTGGTCTGAATCTAGGTAGACAGCATCAGAATTGAAGGAGAGGACACCCAGCTGGTGACTGCAGAGAAATGCTCGGTGTGAAGGGAAACGGCCCCCTTACATCTGGTGTCAGAAGTGTTGAGGTCAGTGACAGAGTAGGAAGAAAACAATTTTCCTTTGGAATGATGTAATACTTTTAATGTTTTAGTACAAAGAAAAAGTGTCGAGATTTTAGTTTCAACAATTGATAAGCTTAACATTTTAAAAATCATTCCTCAATTTCAAATGTAATTCATCTATGTTTATATATGTTACATTCTCATCAGAGGTAAGCGGAAGTTTGATATTCCTGAGCACCTGCATCTCACTGTGCTCCCTGGTGACACTGATGCAGGCTGGTGGAGGTACCTGGGTTAGGAGCAGCAGCAAAGCATGGGCTTACTCTGCCAGGGCTGTTCAAAGAACTTTACAGACACGCATTCATTGCACCTTCATGACTCTGGGGAGGCAGGCACCAGTTTACAACGGAGGAAACTGAGCCACGTTACATAACTAGCCAGTGGAGGAGGAGCCAGTTTCCAGCCCGAGAGCTGGCTTCAGACTCCATGCCCATGGCCACAATGCTTTACTGCTGCCATTTTTTTTTTAACTACCTTTAAATAGTTTCCCGAGTGAGGAAGTGAGTTTGGAGGGTAAGTGACCTCAATCTGTAGTGGTAAAAGCTGAGTAAGGTTTTGGATGTCATGACTCAATTTGTTAGAATTGAATGAGAAATACTGGTTCACAACTGCAATCCAGCACTTTGGGAGGGCAAGGCAGTGAGACAGGTGGATTACCTGAGGTCAGGAGTTTGAGACCACCCTGACCAACATGGTGAAACCCCGTTACTACTAAAAATACAGTTAGCTGGGTGAGTGGCCCATGCCTGTAATTCCAGCTACTTGGGAAGTTGAGGCAGGAGAATCGCTTGAACCCGTGAGGTGGGGGTTGCAGTTAGGTGAGATCGCACCACTGCACTCCAGCCTGGGTGATAGAGCGAGACTCTATCTCAAAAAAAAAAAAAAAAAAAAAAAAAAAAAAAAAAAAAAAAAAAAAAAAAAAAAAAAAAAAGGAAAAAAGAAAAATATATTTATCATAGCTCATGGGATAGTAAATGAGCACCAACCTGGGAATTCCAGCTTACTAAGGCAACTGTTCAAATCACATAAGGTAAAAGCAGGGCAGAAATTAGAAATTAGTCTTTTGTTTTTCTTGGAATGCATTATATTTTTCATATATATATATTTCTATATTATATATATAGATGGAGTCTTACACTGTCACCCAGGCTGGAGTGCAGTGGTGTGATCTCGGCTCACTGCAACCTTTGCCTCCTGGGTTCAAGCGATTCTCCTGCCTCAGTCTTCTGAGTGGCGCTGGAATTAATTACAGGCATCCGCCACCACACCCACCTAATTTTTGTACTTTTAGTAGAGATGGGGTTTCACCATGTTGGTTGATCTCGATCTCCTGACCTCATGATCCACATGCCTCAGCCTCCCAAAGTGCTGGGATTACAGGCGTTAGCCACTGCTCCCAGCCCCATTTTATATTTTTAATGTGTTTTTTAATTTTTATTTCTTTGAGACCGAGTTTCGCTCTTGCTGTCCAGGCTGGAGTGCAATGGTGTGATCTCAGCTCACCGCAACCTCCGCCTTCTGGGTTCAATTGATTCTCCTGCCTCAGCCTCCTAAGTAGCTGGGATTACAGGCATGTGCCACCATGCCCAGCTAATTTGGTATTTTTAGTAGAGATGGGGTTTCTCTATGTTGGTCAGGCTGGTGTTGAACTCCTGACTTCAGGTGAACCACCTGCCTCAGCCTCCCAAAGTGCTGGGATTACACGTGTGATCCACTATGCCTGGCCAAATGCGTTACATTTTTCTAGAGTGTGAAATTAATCCCTGAAGAGACGTAGTCCATCTCATTACTATCTTACATATCCTTTTCCAATTCATAAATATCTCTACCAACTGCATCTGCAGTAAAAGTTGAATAATTTTCCAAAGAGCCAGCTGTGGGTAAAGGAAGGCTTTTTTTGCATTCCCTTTTAATGTTAAGGGCAAGAGCTAGCTGGGACACTTTATTTACATCTGATTAATTTTGCTGCTGAGGTTAATGGAGTTAAAAAATAAAGTCTCCTACTAAGCACGCCAACCCCAAAACACAATGTTCTAACTAAGGTGATTTAATTTCCCCATATAGGTCTCTATTCACCTTGGCTCCTGCTGTGGTTTTTGCCCTTTCCCTCCCTGCCCATGAAAGTCCACCGCCAAGGCACCTTGTCCATAAGTCTAACCATACCACTCTCGGCTCCCTCACGAGCTGGTGGTAAATTCTTCCTCACAGCACTCATGTGCCTGCTATCGCTTATTAGAGGAAGGGACTGAACCAACTTTCATAGGGGTCTGTGACTGTTTATAGTGGGCACGCAAGAAAAAAGCAACCCCCCAAACCAAAGCATGTTAAAGAACCGCTCAAATCCAGCTTAACTTTAACATTTTATTTTGTGTAAAAAAGGGCGAATTTAGTGAATTATTTTCATCTGGTACACAAAGTTATAATTTTAATGCTTTTCACATCCATGCTGAAAATTTGCAATTTGGTAAAAATGAAAGGAACATAAATTTCTCCAAAGGAATTTTTCACGCCATTATATATACATTTCATGAGAAAGTTTCAAACACTTTCTCAATGATCACGAGTTACCAAGAAAATAAAAGATTAAATTTGTACAGATATTGATCTATATATCAAATACATACAGAAATGATGTAAAAACCTTATGCAGTTTACTCTGACTCTGTCCTCAAAAGATTTGCCCAGGGACAGATGCTTTTCTTTTGTATAAATGACTGTGGCTTTATTTAAAATATGAAAATCAAAGGAAGAAACCCAGTTTAATCACAGTATTTTTAAAATCCCTTCCCAATATTAAAGGATCATTACCAATATATAGCACCATAATACAAATATTGATGGGAGAGGGTATTCACATCACGCAAAATTAATAATAATAAAAACAAACAAACACTGAAAACCCGTGTTAGTATCGTAGAATAAGAAGTTGATAACAGCTTTAGCTTTCCTCATACACAGCAAGGAAAAGGTTAAAGAGTTTAAACTACCAAAAGTCCCCAAATAAATCGTAACAGGAAAAAAACAAAACAAAACAGAAAAACAAACCAAAGGTCAGCAGTACATTTTGAACCGTAAAGGAGGATGGGGCGACTGAGTTGTACAACTGGAGTTATGGCTAAGACATAAATCTCCTCTGCATTCATTTTTTTTGTTTG